CTGTCCGAGCTGGCACGGTGCCGCGATTCGACTTCCTCAGCTCACCATGAGATGATGTCGGACTGTAACCCCGCGGTGTGGGGGGCTCCTCGCTTCATTGTGCTTGCACTGGTAAGACGATGAGAACTGTTGGCCAGCGGATGAGAGGCAGCCAGCAAATGGTGACTGTACCAACTCACAAGCGCCGCTTTGAGATGTAACTTTGCGGCCCAAGTCGAGATATCTGCTTTCTTGCCCATCGCCTCGTCGCCCTACTTTGCTCTTGCCTTGTCACTCAGAGGGCCGAGCAAAGCCCAGCGAGAGCGGCTCGTTTGAATCGCAATGTGTTGGCCCGTCTTTACGAGCGTCCTTGGATCGCAATTCCGAGCCCTTACCTCAACACCGGGGTCCCGGCGGGGGTGTGGGGGCCGCTGCTTCTTAGCTTCCCTCCTTCGAGATAAGAGTCTGGAGCGGTACCGGATCCCCAGTAGCCATTGCGCACATTGTCTCTCTTCACCATGAAAGCCACCAGGCGTCCAAATCACCAGACACCCTACAAGAGAATTACCTCCACACAAGTTGATCTGCCTCACCACAATACAACAATGTGAATGGGGCCTTGGTCATCCGGGCCGCCCAAGATGAGTCTCAAATCTCAAACCTCTCAGCCGACCCAGTCAAAGAATGAGGCCAACAAGAGAATCAGCATTCGTTGGTGCGATTCTCGACCTTGCAACCTTGTGTGTCTCGGTTGTCTCCTGTCACGACTCCGCAGCGCGTTAAGCGCGAGAAAAGAGCCTTGTCGCAGATGAGTCAAATTTCCGCATCGCATCGTGACTTCTTCAGCGCTCGTCAGCGCGAGACGTGATCTTCAATAGATAAGACGCATAGTATCCGTAATCGCTGGGGCTCTCTGGACTCTCTTCGGCTTGGTTGTTGTTCCTCCACCCTGTGCATATGTTCACCGAGCACTAGGCTTGACACAGGGTAGGCGCTTCTGCGGTTCGGCAGCCCTCGGTAGTCACTGGCCGAGGACAACAGGCTCCGCTGGCCCTCGGCTCGCCTCTCGGTCTGCGAAAACGCAATGGCGTACTCCGTATGAAATTCCGCAATCCCTTGGCTGTTGCGTAGTGAAGCCGCGCTCACCGAGTCACCAGCTATCGCCGCCGAGCTTCGGACCTTCGTCGGAATCATAACATTTGACTCTTTCCTTCTCAGGAGCAAGATTCAGAAAGACTCTAGTCCCGCCTATGTTATATCGTTGTTCCATGAGCCGCTATGTAGCACTGGTTATGTTCCCAGCCTCGGGTTTCCGTTTTTGTCTTCGACGGATAAGCGGGAATGCATCCTCTCTAGCGACAGGAGAGGCGTCGCTCCTCCAGGATCCAGCATCGGAGAAGGGTGTCCTCGTTGCGGTAATTGCAAGACCAAGGACCCCTCATTTAGCCAGAAAAGAGCCTCCCCCATAATCCAAATGGGACAGAACGTGGGGGCGTCGTGTCACCACAACCATCCGAAGCTCTGGTCCTAGGATATCGCCATCAAGCCACCAGGTCTCCCATTGGCGTCGCAAGACCTGTGATCTTCGAGCGGCGCCACATCCTCTATTGCCTCCCTGCGTAGTAGCGCCAGGTCCGTAATTGCATGCGATAACCCCAGGTGCCACGGGCGCCCAGCTGGCCAGATTGTCAGCCGGGCGTTGAACTGCCTTTCAAACTTCCTTCTATCCAGGTGCCTACTCCGTACGGTCCCTCGGGCTGCGAGGTGCGCTAAGCTCGATTCGGGAATTCCGGGGGAGACCCTTTTGACCATGTTCCCAAGATTTGGGGTACCCAGTGCTGTGAGATCTCTCATCCCCAGATTCTTTCTCCTCACCGGTGGATTGCTTGATTTTCGTCGGACGAGAGGCTCCGAGCCCGTGAGCCATGGCGTAAAGCATGCTCCGGTACGCCAAACATAGCATTGCTATCGCGATGTACCCGTGTGTAAACCGAGTCAGGCTGTTGATACTCGGGGCGCCTAGGCACTCTGTGATGGCATGGGTCGACAGAATGAGGTGATTCGTTTGATGGAAACAAATGTGTTTGGCAAGGGAAAACTGCCATGGAGTCGACACCTCCACTATTGGATTTGTCAAACAGTTCCAACGCCCCATTGCTCTAGAAGTCCAGAGTCCAGAAATCTGTCGAATTTCTTCTCCCGCTACACACACCTCTATCCCGCCCCCGGACTTCTCCACGTCTAGATCTGGCTGGCCGGTACGTCTGATTGCTGCGCTACTCGTATTTCCAGGGATGGCAAGATATCTAGGTATTCGCAGACATGTCCATGGACGCCAAACCAAGCCCTCTCTGGCTGATTGGTTAGTCGTGCAGAATCCCGAATGTCGTGTATTGTTCCGTTCATTTTGACGAGCATTGATAGCGGACTAGCGAATGGAAGTTGTCCAATCTACAAGCCAGGGTGCTCGGTCGAGTCGTGACTTTCTCAGGGGTATCAAAAAACGGGAAGGCGCCAATCTCGAGTCGGGTATCAGCTAGCTGGACGTCGACTCTGCCTGCGGCTCTTTGCTTCGTCCCCTTCCCCAGCATACCCAGCAAAGAGATAAAGCTTATGCAGTGGACAGATAGCTTTCACGGCTATCCTTGTTGATGTCGAGACCACAATTAAATTGATATGGTTTGCTCGTGAGTTCTCTCTGAACATGTCGCCGAGGCTCGCCCGCAACTTAACATGGACTCCCGTCTTTGTCCTAGAAAAAGCTTTCATATCTCGACCGCCATTGGAAAATGACCACTCCAATTTGCACATGTATCTGCATAGCTTGCGTCGCCCTCCGGCCGGATTGGGACGCAATTGTGACATGCGAAGAATCATACGCTCATCGCATGATTGTGGAGGCTTCCACCAAATATGTTCGAAATTTCCGATGGATCTCGCGGGGCTGCAACGACGAACTTGCCTACCACGCATGTACCGCATGCGCGGGGGTTGCGAGACCTCTACATTTTTAACAGCGGCAACAATAGCAATAATGCATAGTCCTGGAGCTTGAGTTGCATCTTGCTTTGTATCGTGCTGTTGTATGAGACAGGCCCGTTGTTGTTCGCGCGGGGAGAACCCCGCTGGCTGGTTCGCTGTTTCTACCGCGGGCGGACACCCTCACTTGGGCGTTTCTGTTGTTGCTTTACAAACCTCCGTGTCTCGCTTGGACCGGGTTCATGACGGCTGAAAGATAAGACCTGCGAGTCCAGAGTCCGGGGCTATAAACTCAAAGAGTGCACTGGTTAAAACTCTGGACAAGCGTCGGAATGACTGGCTCTTGTAAGACTTCGCAATGCCGCCAGCGGGCGCATTATCGCTCAATTTTCTCGGGGGAACTGTGGGCTTCCGCAGTTGTCCTCAGAATCGATTGCGAGACTCGCCCAGCATGAGTCAGTTGTTGCTTCCTGCGTTCGACGGTCGAGCGGAAATGAACCGAGCTCTTCAGAGACAGATTGGATCTGCCAATGCTTCCCCAGACTCCCCTTCACTTTGAACATCCCCGCAAAGTACTTGGAGAGGCCAAGGCGGTAGCTCTTGAAGCTAGAATCCAAGGGCCAAGGGTCGTACCGGTATCATGTGCTTTCTGCCTTGGGTGAAGATTGACCCGAGTTTCTTTGCCGGGACACGCCCGTGTTTGAAACCAGCTTCCTGAAAAGGGCAATATCTGAAGGCGTGGGAATGAGCCGGGGATGGCGCTGCACTAGGGGGTTGATATACAGGGTATGTATATAAGTGTGGGGAGAGAAGGGAGCACGCCCAGAGGTGTGAAAGTTGAACGTGGTGTGTTGATTTGGTTCCGAGTCCCAGTTTTCTGAGGGAGGTCGAGATCCCGAGATTCCCCGAAAGCACAAGCAAACAATTAAGCCAACTGCTCATCCCATGAAGCAGAGGTTTGGTTTGGTAATAGCTGGCGGCATGTGAGTGGCGCTTATGAAATCTCTGTTGTATCCTAGATGCCTTAGGTGAGATGCAAACAGACGAATTGACGGCACTGAGAGTCGTCCCTCAACGGAACATCGCCCAGGAGATTTTGAACCCTGGATTGCCCCTCGTTCCTATCACATGTGAAAGATAAGCAGATAGAGAGGGGGGTACCCCAGAAGCAATCTGTCCCCTTTCGCGAGAGAACAAACCTTAGCATGATGTCAGCGGTAAAGCTTGGAACCGCATTCAGCAAGTTGGAGAAACGGTAACATTCTTCCACATGTAAATTCTGGAGAAGCGCGTACCTTGCATCGCACATGCAGAGGGGAAAGGGTCTGGCCAGAATTGCCGTTCGAAAACGAGAGTTTGATGGTGGCTGTTAGCCGCACCTGTAAGCGGGCGACTCCAGGCAATCTGAAGCGCCGTAGACTTGTAGCCCGAGCCCCAATATCGTCTCTCCACAAAATCTGTGGAATGAAAACCGCGGATGAGAGAAACTCCGCCTACCCTCCACGATCGACCCCAGGTCTCTTCACCTCGTGACGAGTGACCCCAGCAGCCACCAAGGGTCCTCATCAGCAATTTACACCAGCCTGCAAGATGAACGACATGTGTGCGGTGTCAATGCCAGCGAAGGAATGAGGATTCGTTGCCTCTGGGTCCTGGAATATAACGTGATCCGTCGACCCGAGCTCGGATATCGGGAAAGAGGAAGAGGTAAAGGTATTGTGGCTTACACTTCCACCTATGGCCCTTAGGCTGTGGGCATTGGCAGCTAAGCCGGTATGCTCTCCTAGTGCGGAATACCATCATGCTCGACAGTTGGCAGCACCGTCGCCAGGTAGACCCTTGAAGTCTATTGCATTGAGAAGTGTTGAGGCTCAGGCTTTAGGGCAATATTTAGCCGTGACTGTACGCATACATGTAAGGCACCTCGGGCCCTCGCTGTCGGGTATGTAGGACACATCTCTGATCTCCGCAAGGATCCTGCTGTGCATTTGTGAGAAGCCCGGCTTTTCTGTGGTTAGCCGTTCCGATTTCCGACCCGAGCAATGCCTATTCAACCGGTCAGTACGTAGTACGGAGTCAGATTCCGGGTATCCGTACAAATACGAAGACTAGCTTTCCACTTCGCGGCCCGACTTACACGTAGTTGCGTTCACCTGGATACTTGGGGGTGGCCTCAAGTCGGAAATTTCCTCAGCCTGAGCATGTCAAACCCCGCAAACCCCAGGTTGGATCATGCCGTGATAGATGAAGGTTAATCCGAATTATTGAGCATAATTGAGCCAAAGCGATTGGGGGCTCTTTCCGGGGCATTTTCCCCGAACGAGTGCTACCATCAGCAGCGTTCTAGTCAACCCTTCTCATATTCAGGCACAGTGCCTGCCGGCAGTAGTAAGTGTCGATACCAGGATCGAATATGGTCCGGTAGGTGAAACCACGAGTGAAGAGAATCGAGCGCTAGGGTTACAAGCAATAACGAGTCTGAGGTGATACCAGACCAGAGAGCCCAAGCTCGCTAGACTTATCGGTCTGGAAAGATGTGAAACCGTAGGGGTCCTAGAACGTTCCGAGTCGCTGTGAAAATAGACTCGCGAAGCCGTCGATGAGGAATCGAGGGAAATGCATACGCAAAACGGCACACTCGAGCAATGAACCCTGGCGGCCACGTTCCACCCGTTTGGCCCGGAAACACTGCCGTCAGTGCTGGCGATTCTTGTCGTCCGAAACTTGGCCAAGGCCCCGGAAAGGTCCTGAACGTTCCGGATGGTCGGTACCAGAAGGCTGCAAAAGCTGAGGCGGCTCGAATTAGACGTCTTGTCTTACTGAGTAGCATCGACGGACTCAGGCGGCAACGAAGGATTCCCAATGGAAGGTATCTTGTGCCAATCGTTCCCATGACTGGTACATGTTTCAGAAAGAAAGAGATGCAGAAACCACGATAATTCTGGAGGTGTCGGTGCTTGATTGAAGCCGCTGGTCTGGCGGTCAAAGTCATGAGGTTGGATGCGACTCGGTACGTCTACTCGACTGTGGTTTGAGGATCGCAGCGCAGCTCCTCATCGGAATGATGAAGGCTGGTCTTTTGTTCTTTGGAATTTAGTTTGGGTTGAAGTTGGGAAAACACCAAAAGATGATGTAAGATATCTTGAAATAACGCAGGTAGACCTCAAGGTAGGCAACCTGTCATCGCACAGCAAGAAGGTGCGCAGATTCCCTCAGCCACATGTCTGCCTGCCACAGGTGTGGCTGATGACCTCATGTCGAACACGTGTGAGGTTCACGCACTCGTACTGTGCGACTTTTTCAACTTCACGCCTTCAATCGGGACATATCAAACCCCGTCAGGCAAGATTTGAGGTCCTAGCAATGGAGAAATACCACTCCATACATCAGGAGGATATCTCTAGCTTCGACCTCCCTTCCACACGCATGTATGACCCCGTCCTCTAAACATCACAGCTCCTAACAGAGTGCAGATCGATTGCCTACAGTGTCCGCCGCTGACGCACTGGAAGAATTAGATGGCGGTGTCGCTAGATATGTCTCTACAGGTATTGGACGACTAGATGAGGCTCTCATATCTTCTTCATCTCTTCAGGCACCAGATCCGACAAGCGGGGGGGGCCTCCAGAGAGGACAGGTTACGGAGATTTGGGGACCACCAGGCTCAGGCAAGACTGCCCTAGGGTGAGTTGCCATTATGCTGTCCTGCAGACGACGCCATGTAGTCATGACTGACCCATCAGCAAAGTATTCAACTGGTCGCCAATGCGCTATGCGAGAGGCATGGCGCTGTGTGGGTAGGTCGGTTCATCTAATACTACCATGCACGGGAAGACGACGACGAGACTGACACACATATCAAAGATTGTGCGTATTCAGTTTGCGGCCATCGACTGAACGCGGTGATCGAGGCAGTGGAATCAACTCGGCCATCCAAAGACCCCGAAGCGGTGAAATCGGCCACGAACCACTTTGCACACTATAGCTGCCCCAGCCTGCCTCACCTGATAGCACTTCTCTGCCGTCCTACGGCGGCGACAGTGCCAGCAAATTCGGCTGTGGTTGTGATAGACTCCTTATCAGCTTTGGTGAATCACGTTTTTCCCAAAGCGCCCGACGGTAGAAAAGATCAGTCGCGCGGTAAAGGTCAGTTGTCCTGGACCAGATCGAAGTTGTCTACTCATATTATGCAGGTCCAGGTCTATCAGCGAAGCGGCTGCAAGCTTTGCAGTATATTACCAGTGCCCTACAGAAACTAGCAGCAACACGCGACTGCGCAGTGGTGGTCCTGTCGCAATGTGCAACCAAGATGCAGTTGGAACGGAGCGCGACATTGATTCCATCCATTAATGCTGGGGTATGGGAACAGGGCATGTCGACGCGGGTAGTGCTGTTCAGAGACTGGGTATGGAAGGAAGAGCGACCGTGGTCTGTATGCTTCGCCGGTGTGCAGAAGCTAGACGGCAAGGCTGGGCCGGACATGATGCAGAGCGCAGCGGCGTTTAGAGTTGAGGCGGTCAGTATTTTCGTTGGGCAGTCACGATTCCGGCATAATTTCGCAAAAGCGGAGTTTCCAAGGCAAGAGGTTATGTGGTTTGCTGACATGGCTCGTTATCGTGACAGACGGGCTTGGTTGGCGTGCAGTACGACACTAGCCAACCATCGGTGTTCCTTCCAACGGCTCCACGAGCGAAACGCAAGCTGGCAGAGGCTGGCCTCGAGGTGCCCGATAGCGAGGAAGATGACGAAGAATACGGATGGGCACGAGAAGACGAGTCGGCGCTTCCCGGCCCGCCGCCGCAGTGGCAAGGCAGCGAAGACATCCTTCTGGGGACCCAGGCGGCCGAAAGCGAGGATGACCGGGGTAGCAACGGAGACGGCCACGGCGATGGCGGCGACGGTGATGACGAAGACGACGAGGCAGAAGATGTGGGTGAGGCAGCGACTAGCGGCCGAGATGACCAGGTTTTGGCCGAGCAGTAAAGAGGGATGGCGGAGAAGGGACCATGGTGGAAAATTTCCGGGTGAAGGACCGGAGCTTGGCCGACAGATAGGACGAGCATGAATCGATAATACGGTACGGAATGTGGTCCCTTGACGGCCTTCCCCTTGGCGGCCCTGGCAAAATCTCAGCCTAGGCTGCCCAGCCCCAGACTTTGACGAATTTGGAGACTGGTCATGAAAAAAACGAACCCAACCAGGAGCCAATTCCGAGACTGACGGAGTGTGTCATGTTACGAATACTCAAGCTTCACAGTTGAGGGTGAGGCGAGAGGAAAAAGACAGAGGAAGGAAAAGCTAGTGCAACTCCACCAAATATGACGGGCGACCCGCCACAGGTAGAGATTCAGCGGTTAAGGACCGATAAGAAGCAATGGTCGGTCAAGAGCCGGGTCCACCGAGAGCATGAAAAGTCCATCGTCACCATCGGCCAAATGTCGGCTTGACGCGGACCGCTTGGAAGCACCAGCTCAGAGACACTTCCAGGGCTCAGGGGCAGAGATGGGGATAATAGGCCGTGGCTCGTCCGGGGCCCCGACCCCGACCTGGGCATCGTGGGGCCCACATGTTTGGTTGAGCCGCAGTGGCTGCGGTGCGGTAGCGCTCTTTGGGAAGTCGCAAGGAGACCCAGAGTGAGTTTGGGAGTGCGGAATGAGATGGAGCTGGCCGGCTAGGGAGTAGTGTGTGAGATCTAAGTGAGTGGGTGAGTGAGTTTAGTGAGTGAGCGAAGGTGAGTGTGTGTTGTCATGGTGCTCCGGGCAAGTCCGGATGCAGCTGGCTCATCAAGGGGGAAGAGGAAAAGAAAAAAAAAAAAAAAAGAGGACCATGATGGCTGAGGTGAGAAGGTGAGGTGGAGGGAGCCATTGGCTTACTCATCGGGGAGCGCGACTTTCCACTCTGAGATTCAGGATACTTATTTTTGCTGGGGAGGAGTGACGGGTTTTCGTGGGGGAATCTTTTTCTCCCGCCCCTTGAGAGCCCCGTTTCTTCTCGAAGGAAAAAATGGCGTCAGATCGAGGGACCCCACACGCTCTGCAGCGCCGGGCTCTGCAGTCCGCGGACACACTGGTCTCTCAAAGCTCGTCGAGGTAATTTTGTACCCTGTGCACATTGGTCACAGAGGAGGGTGCCAAGGTGTGCGCGCTGTTTGCTTGCGCTGGCTAAGCACCTCTGCAGGGCTCAGCTGCGCGCCAAGCGCTGCCAGGTTCCCATGAGCGCTGGCCTTCAGGGGGAGGTTACGGTGCCTATCCGCCGTATCATTGATATTCAGGGTCAATAGAGATGCACACAGGCTGGAGAGCTGGGTTTCTACGGGTCTCCTATCGGCCCTTGGACTCGGTGCTATTGGAAAGGTAAAGTATTTGCAGCAGAACTGTCACACAGGGTAGATTCCACATCGCTCGCTCTCGTCCCTTGCGTGGGTGTGCAGTATTGACGAGATGCCAAGCAAAACGGCCCTCAGCGGGCATGGTGGGAGGGCCAGGCACAGAGCCTACACAAGTATTCCTGGAGAAGAAGTGACTTTTGAGATTTTGTGGTAAACTCGAGTAAGGTGTTTTCCCCCGGTCGCATTCCACTCTCGCGACCATCTCGCGCTCCGTCAGAGCCTCTGGAGTAAAGTGTCCAGTAGGTAGGTATCTGAGGCGCCCCAGATCTTCCGAGCACGTTTTGCTACGTCCACGCCCCCCTTTCCTGGTCCCTCCCGTCCACGGCATAAGGTACCTACCCTGCTTCCTGGTCCCTACAATGAACAAGTCACAGCCCTGCGACGGGTGATCCCCTGTCTCCCCTACTTCTTTTTTTTTTCCCTCTCGCGCTGGCAGGTGAAAATTCCCTCTATGGAGACTGGAGTTCTGGAGTCTGAGGTACCTCATTTTCAACCCTCTGGTCTGTTTTTCAGCCTCTTGATTTTTTTAATGCCGCTGCGGATCCGCACCTAGTGTACCTTGCTTATCGACTCCAGACCGAAGTAGCCTCCTTCTCCACCCAATTAGGGTGACATAAGCCAGTGGATCTCTTCCCCGTCTGGAACCACTGGCATCGAGCATTGGGCATTGGCATTGGTAGGTATTAGACCTGGCTTTTGTGAAGTTATTCCCACATGGCCCGGGCTGCAACTCACGTATATTGTACGTACATCTTTCATTTATTATTCTCCGGCAGGCGCAGCAGGGTTCACCTTCACTATCGAGCCCGCACCGAGAATCTGCAATGGTTTGTTAGGTGTTTGTTATTCAACCCTGCAACGTACGGACCAAGTGAGATTTTTTTTGTACTTGTCTCTAGGTAATGATGCCATTTCTACCCTTGGCTCTCACGCAATTATTGGCATCAATTCGCTCTACAAGCCAAACGCGGTAATCCACAGCAAGTAAGCGGTCGAGCAATTAGATAATTCTGGAGGGTAGGTACAAGTTGCGTAAAGACCTGTCGCAATTGTGTATTGCACTTATGGCATCCATGGCATCGCTCCAATGCAAGGTGGCATACATACATACCATGGGCCCTCTGCGGTTGCATCACTGCTGGATTCAGTTACAAACTTGAACCGAAGCAAGAACCTGGCGTCGATGGGACGTTGAAGTTTGAACAGACGTCCAAATCGCACCTCGCGAGCCGCAAGTAATTCCCGCGTTCCCCGCCCTTTTGCCCCAGCCAGTCTTCCCTTCTCCGCTTGTTTTCTTTGCTCGTACGAATACAACATTGGAGTCCTAAGGCCATATTCCATCTTACGATCTTGCCGAAAATCGAGACATCAAACGCCAGGTAGCCCATCCAGATCCTAGGCCAACACCCACAGCCCCCAAATGCAGCGAGGTTCCAGCTTCAAGGTAGAATAGTAGGTGCGCCTATTCGTACAGAGGAGCAAATCCCAACCAAACTACTGCACAATGCCGTCCTTCCCCTTCCGCCGCCGCCGCAGCACCCCCCCTTCCCCGGTCGGCTGAGCCAGGCCGAGGTCCTATCGGCTGACGCCGGAGAGAAGGAAACAGGAGAAATCTCAAGTTGCGGCCCGCCTGAAACTATGTTTCTACCCATCATCAGCCGATGTTTCCTTATCTGTGTGTGATGTATGATGTATCTTCTAACCGCACCAGACAGCGGAACCGCTCTGTAGTATGTCACAAACAAGGCAAGCGGCGGCATTATCTAAGGGGGAAAAAGAGGGAGGTCTAGATTGGGTGATCTGGTCTGGGGGAGCAGATCGATCGTGCCACTGGTGTCCTTTCCCCTCCGTTCTTCTTTCTCCGCATCGAGGAAGTCACATATTTGATATGACATCGTCGATGGCAACCACCACCATCATGACCTCCATCGTAACTACCGTCTACAACCGATCACGGCCAAAAATCACGTAGTGTTCTTTTGTCTCTGCAGCCATAGGCTCACGTCGTCACAAGTTGATTGAATCAAGATACAATTACAGACCTTCTGCTCCGGCGGAGGAAATCGGTGGCACAGCACTCTTGCGTGTACAAAAAGCAACGCGAAGCAGGTACTTACGCCCCTTCAAACAAGCAGAACGCGTATCTCAGCCTCTCTGAGCCTCCAAAACTTGCAGACACAACTGGGCGAGCGACCTTCAGCGGGAGAAGCTACTGCACAGATCGCCCATTCGCCGCGGGTCGCATACACCGATGCAACCGCGGGGGCAGATGGTGGCAAAGGCCTCTCTCTTTCTCTCTCTGCATAGCTATTCGTGCCTATCAGAGCCTGCGGACGGGGCCGGGCTTGTATGCGCGGTCCCAGATTGTCGTGGTCCTGCAGAAACGGCCTCTTTACCAGCCCACTTGGAGACCTGACTCCATACGAATATAGCGCGCAGCAAGCAATCAGGACTCGAGGAGCGCAGGGTGACATCAGGGACTTGAGACGATTCCTGCTGCAGGACTGCAGGCGTCTCCCGCTCCTTGGTCAGCCCACAACGCCGCTTAATCGTGCGGACGTCGTCTAACACTGGCTCCATGTTTCCCGGCTTTCCGCCGCGGCGGCGGCGGCGGCGAAGACGAACAACTACCACCGACCACAGCCCAAGATAGTAGCCCCCAAAGAGCGAGAGCCGCGAGTTTCAGACTCGAGGGACAACCTAATGACATAGCAAAGGCAAGACTAAGCACCAAGTTCGACTGTAGTAACCCCGGGTTCTGATCTTCATTGGCGGGAGCCGCAATGTGACAACGCACGCAACTCTGCTACAGAACCTCGTTCTAGACCCTCCCATGTTGCTATGCATCGATGGGCAGCATTACTTGACTCGACTTAACCTACAAGGTCGGCTCGTTCCTTGTCTTTCCATCACACGATTTAGGCTGTTTAGGTACCGATATACGCGTTGCGCCTCTGCTTGATGCCCGCGAAGTCTTTGACAACATTGCCTTCTCGTTCGTTGTTGTCTCCGCAGTTGTCTCTCCGCAGTTTGGCTCTGTGGCACCCCCGCCTAGAGTCGTTCGATGGCCCCAGTGCCACCCACCTCCCCCACACCGCCGCTCCCGCTGGCCCGCGTTGCCGCGACCAATGCCGAGATCTTCATGTGCGGGTTATCTTTCTAGATTGGGTGCATGTTTGTTACTTTACACATACTCTGAGCACTCAGCAGTGGTTTGATCTAAGAGAAAGGTAGAGTCCAAGGATTGCCTAGACCTATGAGAGTGTGGGGTGTAAGTATATGATGAATATAGCACACGCACGACAAGAAAGAGAAAACAGAAACAGAAACTCGTATTTAGGATAAATGGACAGACTTGCTTGCGTAACAGTAGGATGAGTAGAGTTGCAAACCTTGCAGCGGATGACTTGCAGCGATCATGCACACATCCCGCTTCCCCCGCCCGCCCGTCAACACACCCTCAAGTTACTTTCTCCCCTCTACTCCCAAGAGTCCCTTCCTTCTATCGCCGCCGGAGCAGCTCGCTAAGTGCTCGGCGAGACGGGGGGAGAGAGAGGGAGAGAGACGTCTTCTCTTACCGAAACTGGATTCCAATGCTGCGTACGTTTGCTCATTTGCACATCTTGGCTGCTTGTGGCTTGAGTTTCCCCCTCGTCTCTCGGATTATCGTCCTGCATATACGGGGAGGACAATGAGATTCTAGACCGCTGTTTCCCGTGATACTGAAAGGAGGCAAATATACAATAGCAACGGTTGTAGCTGAAGTCGCAATTGCAACATTCTTTCCGGCCCGAAAGGCATTGGTCCAGTTGCAGGTGTAACCGTGGACTGCTCTTTTAACGGTAATCACGACAAACGTCGGAATGGGAAGATGGTCGACCGTTTCCTTGATCATTTGGGTTTCTCGGAAGCTTTCGCACAGAGTACGAACACACAGGGCTCAATCTGTCTTTCGCACATATTACCCAGAAGGAATTCCGTTCGACATTTCAAACGCAGAAGTAACCGAGGGTATTCAGAAAGTTGAGCCTGTTGTTCTGAGTGGCCACGGCAGGTATGCTCGGCTTCTCTATCCCTTCTTTGACGACTCATAGAGGGAAGGGGAGCGAAGGGGCGTGCGCGTATTGAGACCAACGGATTTTTGCTTTCTTCCAGGTTGGATCGAAAACTTTCAGAGAGTTCGTCGGGACACAGTTTGTCATGTTTCGCCTCGGGAAGTCTACGGTAAGTCGGGAAGAGAGAGGGCTGGGCGGTGCCGGTGTGGGTGGTTGCGGCTCTCTATTCCTCCGCACTTCCAACGGAGGAAACCTTACGTCAGTGCCCTTTTTTGCTAGGGTGAAATGTGTCTATCAACACCTTCACATGTCAATTGAACAGCATTTTCTTTTGCTGATTGCTGTCTCTGACCCCTCCCTTCCCCTTCACCAATCCGTTTGCCCCGCAATATTAGAGCTGGCTCATGCTCATGCTCATGCTTCCTTGAAGTGTGCTCATGCTGCATGAAGAACAAAATAACAGACTTCCCGGCGAAGGAAAGGTCGAGACCTTTTTTCCCGGAATCCCTCGTGGCAGGTGCTCGATTCTCGGCAAGTCAATTGCATGATTGATGGCTTCGCTAGCAATCGGAATAATTGCCATGTGTTGAGGAGAAGCTTTCCTGCTAAGGATACGACGGCATTCCCTCGTTTCGGCCTCGGCGTTGAGATTGGAATTTGGAGAGCATTCATGTGAGGAAGCTAAGATACGGGTACGAACATGGGCTTTTATCAAAAGTCAACTGTACTCATTCTGTTGTCTCTCAAGCACATGTCGACGCCATGTACGCAGTAGTGGCCAGTATGGCATGAATCCTTTTACATCGCAATAGAGACTGTGGGCTGATGATTGCTAAGTCCCTTTCGAGACGCAAGGGTAATATATCATTTTCCTAGCGGGATAACCCAAGCATCACAGCTTCACATTGGCTCCGGAAGCACATTCCGGATTGTTCAGGCCGACATAGCGCCGTATCGGAAAGGCAGTCAGGAAGTTCCTCTCTCTCTGTAAGACGGAAGTATCACGTGCTTTCAACCAAGACCGGGGAGGGGCTCCGAACTCTACATCAGAATCGAACGTTGGCGTGATTAGCTTATCAGCCGATGATGTGTTCTGCATGTGAAATGTTTCTCGAGACAGTTTCGTTTTGTAGATTTAATGTACTCAAAATAGGACGACTACGATTGGTCGAACCCTCCCAAAAACCCAAACCGCTCCCAATCCTTGCCAGGGAAGAAGAAACATAGGCCAGATAACCAAAAGACGCCGTTGATACGCCGTAAGAAAAACGCCATTGCACCGATTACAGCCTCATTCAACGATTTTAACAGACACCACACTTCTCAACCCCACGCTAATGCACAGAGACAGAGACCAAAAGCTGCCAACAATACGGACCATAGTCCTGAAACTACGGGGGCGTCATGCCGAGTAACTCGGCGGATTCGGGTCCGCGTACACCATGGTGGCCTTGAGGAAGATGAGCACCTCGTACGCCGCCTTTGCAATGTCGAGCCCCTTCTTCTTCCACTCGGACTCGTACCACAGGTTCTGCAGCATGTTGTCCGCGACGAGCGTGACGATGAAGCGCACGTGGTGGTCCTCGGCCGTCCACGCGCTCTTGTCCGGGCGGTAGACGCAGAACTTGGCCTTGCGGCCGTTGAGCGCCTCCCGCGCCGCCTGGGCCGTGCGGGTTTTGTCCGGCTCCGGCACGGCGCTGGGACCGGGCGGTAGGCCGCCGGTGGGGCCCGCGGCGGCGACGTCGGCGATGGCGCGGGAGAGGAAGTCTGCGTTGAACTCGTTCCAGGGTCCGCGGACAAAGTTGCTGTCGAGCCAGTCGTGGAACTTTGTGGCGTCTTTGAAGGGGAGGAGCTCGAGGAGGAGGCGCTCGTGCTGGAGGGATACGCGGGAGGAGGAGGCTGGCGGGTTGGCGAGAGCCGGTGTCCGGGCCGGCGATGTGGGCATGGCGGCGACGGTTCCGATGGCGCTGGGTTTGGGGACCATGCGGGGCGTTGGGGGAGGGGAACCGAGGCGTTGGTAGGGGAGTTTTGTGATGGGTGAGGTGGATTGCGTTGTGTGTCTGCGTGGGCGTGGGATGCACATTGGAAGAAGACGAAATGCGACTAGCGGGCACCAAGGAACACGAAGTTAAAGAGGCAGGCAAGTGGGATGGGAAAGTTCTAAGCGGTTTAGTAGACTGTGGCTGTACAGAGAGTCTGCCTGACCAAGCACGGGATGGACATCATCACATATATGTCTCTCTTCCAGCCCTACCATTTCTGGGCCACTACCCACCGAATATGCCTCGCACCAAGGGTCTTTTGTTTTGACGTCAATGTACCTGTAAACCCCTGCCGTTCCTTCTTACAAGTTGCTGCCTGAGGGAGTTCCCTTTGATATGGACGCACGTTGCATCGGAAGCGTGCTGGAGGGATGGCAGAGGGGAATTTGTGAAGTTGTTTCTTTGGGCTTTTGGAGGGGCCTGCCTCTAGGCAACAGAGCTGAAGTGCAGCGACAGCAAATCAGGAGTGTCTGTGTCAGCCGCGCTGCTCACGGCGCTTACGCGGCCGTGAGGGAGCCAAGCAGTGAGATGCGCAGCACTCGTCTGACCATTTGCATCAGATCAAGCCTGGATTGGAAGGGATTGTGCCGAGCGTTGGATTTATGGTGAAGCATGCGCGTCGGATTCTGGTGCAAGTGCATCGAAGTTTGTGATGGGATTTTAGGCTACAGTAAGTCTTTGACTGTCTGGTCAGAGTCTTAGCACCGAGACACCAAGGTAGACCTTCATGTAAAATTATGAGAAAAGCTATAGAACACTATTCATTTTGAGCGAAATGATGTATAACTGGTGTAAAGCTTTCTTGGAACTGCTATTAGTAGATCTACCCAACTATTGCATTCGGCTGGAAGAAGCACATGTGCACATCTTCCGTCAACAAAACTGATCATACCATGCATGCCTAGTCTTCTCGAAGATCAGCCCCTTCGAATGAAGGATCATGTTTGCAACTACAAATTTTCTTCGAGTGACGATGCTCATTGCCAGGCTCGGTGCCCTATCCAACTGAGCAACGACTTCACTACTTTTCAGGAGCCGAAGACAGCAAATACAGTGTAAACCAGATTTCATATCAATCATTTTAAAAGAATAGTGTTTATCCATAAAATATTCACCTTTAGATCAGTGAATACTCTTAACTCGTTCCTAACAATAACCTGTTGCTCTAGGTAGGCAGTCTTCGTTCATTATTTGAGAAAGATGAATGCTCTTATCATACTGCTTGGTCAAGTTGATCACAAACTAATTCGTCCTAGAGAAGCTAGAGACCCTCTTACTCAATTCAATATGCTCGCCATGCCTTAGATCAATGATCGGCGGGTTCATAGGGAGATATAGCCAACAAAAAGGGGCCGATCCGCGGTTCGAACGCGGGACTCTTGCAGATAATTCATTGAATCCAAAGCAAGGATCTTACCACTTGACCAATCGGCCTGTCTGTTGATGTATTCTTGATGGAATAGCTTCAATTGCAATCGGAATAAAGGTGAGTGATCTGTGTTCGGGGTGAGGTTGAAGATGTGAGGTGTAAGCCTGGGTGTGGGCGGTGTGTTGAGTCACCCGGCAAGCGAGCGTGAAAGGGCCTCACCTGAACCCACGACAGGGAAAGACGGTTACGAGAAATCCTAGGTGCCTCAGGTATATACCTGACAGGTCTCGAGGCTGTTTTCTGGCAAACAATCACAATTTCTTCAGTTCCTTCCGTGAAAGTAAGACTAGCAAGTCAATTGATGGAAAGAAGAGACGTTCCTGCTAAGCAGACAACCATTCCAATCCCTGACTATCCCTTGGCAGGTGTCGCAAAGACGCAGTTGAGATCCTTTCCGGTTATGATCATGCTTATTGCCGTCTCGTGAACGAGCCGCAATCGGCAAGAACTCAGTCGGTTGAGGGAAGGTGATGTTGAGTTGTTCTTGCCGATGAAGGTAGACATACGAGGGCAGCTGAAAGGAACGCCGGCCAACACCTTCCCAAATATGGAACCTGCTGTTTTTAACGTTCCCACGGTGAAGATGTTCCATACCATTCCAACTTGTCCTCCTCCATCATCCTAGGTTCCCCTTGTCGAGTCGCGGCTGTGTCTCTAGACCGTTGCCTCGCAATCCAGCTTTCTCTGCGAAGGCGTCCTGTAAGTCTTTCTAATCAATGATGATCTGTAACAGAGCTAGACTGACTCTTTTGAGAGACCAGTAGCTGCATCAGATCCTCTTCGATTCTCCACTCACCTCTTCTTCGCACCACCTAGACTACAGTCATGCGAGAACTCCCTCCTCTGCAGCTCGACGGCATTGAAGCCGAGATGGATAATGACAACACACGGCCTGACACTTCGAAGAGCTCAGACGAGCCTAACCAGTCTTCGTTTCGGCCTCGCTTGAAGAAGCAGAAGCAACATCGGGTTAGATATCGCTTTCTCACTCCCTCTGAATGGGCCATCGTTGCTCATGGAATCGGCGGTGTCAATGATACCGAAGGCCACATTGCCCTTCATCCTTCATGTTGGTATTATCCACCCAAAGGAATCCCGAATGGACTGTACAGAGATGTCATCTGGCATCGGACCAAGTATTTCTACATGTACCATGGCATGAGCTCCATTCGATGGGTTGCCTACATTCTTCAGATCATTCTCGGAGCGATCCTTACCGCAATCGGTTCCATGTCTTTCAAGAACGGCACTCCCATCACCATAATTGCGGCTACGAACACTATCAATGCTGGAATACTCGCACTTTTGCACAATAGCGGACTGCCCGACCGTTACCGCTCCGACCAGGCGGAGTTCGACGAGGTCGAAGACCACCTCAAAGAGATCCTCGACACTGGCATTGTCCCAGAGAACATGTCTGTTGACCAGGCTCTCATCCATTGCTTCAGTCTCTACCACGAGGCTAAGAAGACCGTAGCGGCAAATATTCCTGCAACGTACACCCCCAGCTCGGTTCTCGGAGCTGGTCAGCAGGTTGGTGAGCCTCAGAAATCTAGCGCCACAGGTCCAACAACACCCAACGCTGCTAGTGGCGTCATTGCAACCCGACTTTCAGTGGCATCACCAAAGACAAGTGAGGCACAGGCCATTGAAGAGAGATGATAAGGCCTCGTTGCATGGCGAGAGAATGGGCTGATGTGAATTTTGTGTTACCTATCCCTGAATTATCGTGGTAAGGAAGGAGATTAAGGCGTACGGTGCCTGTTACAGTTTTGGCATGACCTTGGCAGTAGTAGATGATAGGCAACTTGTGTCTGATCGGAACGGTAACGGGATGAACAAAGACAAACATGCATTCTTAGACTAAGTCACATTTGCATCTAACGGCGTTGCCTGAAGGTGGCGAAAGCGAGATTCTTGGGGCAAAATCATGGATTACGGTATAACGATGCCAAGCTGAAAGCATTCGAATAGATCAATACGTATGCTACACGCCCTCCAAGCTTTGGCAAGGATGCTGATATCTTACACTACAAGGAAATGCTTCTCGTACATGCTCTCACTTCAACCCACTGCCCTTTTGCATATCGGGATCATCCCCAGTTGATGCCGAGGAACCTGACGCCTTTCTTTCCAGAACCGGTCGCCGTATCTGCGTTCTCAAGGTAATGTCGCTGGTGCCCTCTCACATCAACGTAGAGGTACTTGTATTCGAATTCGCCGGAGATGGGCGTCTTGATCATGTGGAGGTAAACCACACCCCTGTTGAGGGGCCCTTCGACATGGAAATGCATGAGCATATGCTCGTGGCCTCTCGAATCCGTGTTGATAGTAGAGCTAATCAAGTCAGACTTATATGATCCTTGTCATGGGAGAAGCGACATACGCAATCGGACGTGCTCGTCGCCACTTGTTATACGTTTCCTCGCCATGGCAAACAATCTTCTTCGAATCTCCCAGCATTTCGATGCACTTCTGATCAGCCTTGATCTTGTCAACGACTCGGTTGAAGACAGCAGTTTTGCTGTCCGGAGAGAAGACATCTGTCCACAAAACATATGCAACTCCGCCCTGTTAGACCACCCCCATCGTTAGCTACTAGTTGCCGCGGGGTAGAAGTCATTTGACTTGCCGTCACTGCGATACCAGCCAAAATCAGTCCAAAGTTGAAGGTCTGCTGGGTCGCCCTGGCTGCCTTTTCTCCCCCAGAAAGCTGCGACCAAGGTACCGACCCATTGTCGTTGAATGGTGTGACTTTCTTTCGTTTTGAGCTAGTTGTCGAGGCGGTGGTTCCGAGACCGTACTGCGTCGCATAGCTTCGCTGGAGTAGTAGAGGTTGTAGTCGGGGCGCAAGACCTAATCTCGCAGTTGCGCGGATCGCATTCGAACAGGTAGTCGTCTTCATCATGGTGGTTCGACGTCAGCCATCGTACAACCGCAGCAAGCAGGGTACGGTAGTGGTCGAAAAGAGCTCGGCAGTCGAGAGTTGGAGCTCCCCATGTAGCTGGTCTGGGCGAGCTCTGCAAAAGCCTCTTGACCGCCCTTGGCAGAATCCCAATTGCCAGCCCACTGTGGGGGAATTGATCTAGCCTTTTTAGGTCTAGCGCTTTGGCTACATGCCACTTCACCCAAGGGCGGCGACTGCCTCCTGAACTTTTGGACACGAAATTCAGATAACTCCGCTCCCTGCTTCGCTCTCGCTTGCGCATCATTTCTGTACCCGCAACCTGCACCCTCTTTCGCTCCCTTTGATATCACGGCCTTCGCAACAGGTTGCGCTTTCAGCTCCAGGACTAGAAGCACACAACTGATTTTTTGCCAATACCGTCACGATGGCTGCACTCGCTTCCAAGCAGCAGTCGCTCAAGATCTTTGAGAAATTGAAGACTAAGCCTGCGAACAAGGTATGCCCAATACCCTGCACCCCTTTATGCCCAAAGTTTGCTATGTTGCGCAGTGTTGATTGACTTGCGCACACCACAGATCTGCTTCGATTGCGGCGCCAAGTACCCGACATGGACCTCAGTTCCCTTTGGCATCTACCTCTGCCTCGACTGCTCGTCTAACCACCGAAACCTCGGTGTCCATATCTCCTTCGTCCGATCCACCAACCTCGACCGTACGTGTACTCGGAAGACCGTCTTACTTTCCCTCCCTTGACTGACCTTGACGACAGAATGGCAGTGGGATCAGCTGCGTGTGATGAAGGTTGGCGGCAATGAGTCAGCTACCAAGTTCTTCCAGCAGAATGGAGGTACTGCTGCCCTCAACAGCAAGGACCCCAAGACCAAGTACCAATCCAGCGCTGCCACCAAGTACAAGGACGAGCTGAAGCGCCGCGCGGCAAGAGACGCTCAAGAGTACGTATACAAATTGTCATTCTTGAGTGCCAGATAAGCTGACGAGACAGATACCCCGGCGAGGTTGTCATCACCGACGCTACCGACGCCGATACCTCTACTCCCGCTGGCGAGCCTGACGATGACTTCTTCTCTTCCTGGGATAAGCCCTCTATCAAGAAGCCTACGCCCCCGATTTCTCGCACTTCCACTCCTCCGACCGTCGGCCGAACCGCCTCTCCCTTCCTCAACGCCAACAACGGTGCCGGCAAGGATATTGCACGATCCTCCTCGCCCCTGTCCAAAACGGAAGGCGATAACAAGCCCACTACCGGCCGCGTAACCACCTCTGCTGCCCTGCGCAAGACTACGACCTCCACCGGACCCCGTAAGGCCAACATCTTGGGAGCCAAGAAGGCCCCCAAGCTTGGAGTCAAGAAGGTCACGGCTGATATCATCGACTTCGACGAGGCTGAGAAGAAGGCTAAGGAAGAGGCGGAGCGCATCGAGAAGCTGGGCTACGACCCTGAGGCTGAGGAGGAGAAGAAAGCCGCCAAGGTGGATGCTGTCGCGGCTCCTACCCCTGCTGCTCCCTCGGGTGGATACGGATCATCCAGCCATACCCGTCAAAAGTCTGACGCCGAGATGGAGCGTTTGGGCATGGGTGTTCGCAAGTTGGGCTTCGGCATGGTTGGTGGAGCCAAGGGTGCCGCCGCAGCGCCCAAGAAGGCCGGAACTGGTGGATTCGGCTCCGTTGGCCCCATCAAGGCTAAGACTGAGGGTAAGAAGACCGCTTTCCTAAATCACGAATGCGCAACTAACAGCGATGCAGATGAGAGCGAGAACTACGCACGCAGCAAGTTTGGCGCCCAGAAGGGAATCTCCTCTGATGAGTTCTTCGGCAAGGGCTCCTTCGACCCCAACCAACAGGCCGAGGCAAAGACTCGTCTGCAAGGTTTCGAGGGCGCTACCTCCATCTCGTCCAACGCATACTTTGGCCGCCCCGAGGATGAGCCGCAAGAGGAATACGGCGACCTCGAGGGCGCCGCCAAGGACTTCATTCGTAGATTCGGTATTACCGCGGGCGACGATTTGGAGAACCTTGGTCAGCTGGCCGGCGAGGCCAGCCAGAAGCTGCAGGGTGCCATCCGCGCCTACCTCGGAAGCTGAGCGGTTCGACATGACGTCACTGGAAACGACAGAACTGAAATTGGAATTTCACTTTGCCATTGAGATATAGAAAGCGGCCATATCCCAAGGTCCCCGCCTCACACCGTTTAGAGGGACGAATGCCTTACGCCAGGGGAGTCGGAAGGTAACGAAAGCAGAACGTTGGACAACAGCAGGCGGACGCGAAAAAAGGATACCTTGTGTGCTTTTTCACAACGGACTGCTTATCAAGTGAGCCTGGAGGGTCATCGTGGGGATCTCGAGGTCGGGAAGGGAGGAAAAGACGCATGCTGAGGGCTTTTGAGATTTGAATTGCATCCCGGCACATGAGGCGTACAGACAGAAGCCGGCGACGGGGGAGTGGATTGACACTTGCTTGGTTGGTTTGGGTCTAATACATAAGTATGAATGAATAGAATTGAGCTTCGTCACCATGTTCTTGTCTGTTGTCTAGCGTGTTCTGTCTTGGCGCTGAGGAGTTGATCTGCGGCCGAGAACGCGTTGTGGAGAGACGGGGAGAGAGGTTAAAGCATGTGAAGTATCCACTTGGCGCTTAGCCTTCCAAGGGTCCGTCGTGTTCATGTGTGACTTGGCAGCGGAAACTCTACAAAAAAACTTGGGCGCAAGAGAGTGCGAGAACACGTTGCGACTTTGGGGGGTCAGCCGTTCCAGTCACGTCCCATTTCCTTACTGGCCACTTGTCGGAGAAAAAATTCAATCAGACCTCGAGCACAGACGGAAGTTCTCTGGAATTTGGAACTGGAGAATTGTTCGTCTTTTCGGCTTCCCCAGATTGGGAATGCCGCAATGGCGTCACAGGAAAATAGTGTCAACTTATATGAAGAGAAGTTTGTAGTTCATTTCATGGTATGCTAGCAATCATCCATCTCAGTTCATCTCAAATATACAAAACAAGAGCCTCATAACTCCAGGCCCTGGGGAGGCGCCAGACATAGGCTTCTCCTGGCGCACACCCAAATATGCGACCAACTAAAAAAAAGAACATTACGCTTTTTAACAATTACAACTTGGCAATCATCTTGTTGCCCTTCTGGAGCCATGCGACGGCGTCGTTTACAAATTCGTCCATGACTGCCTTGGCGGGCTTCTTGTCATTACACACAGCGGCGGCCTTACCCATGAGGAAGGGGCGGAACTGGTCGAGGGCATCGTCAATGTCGACCTCGGCGGCGTTATCGTCGCTGCCGCTCTCGCCGCTGCCCTCACCGTCGCCTGAGTTCATGAGCTTCTCAAGGTCGGCCTCGTAGGGAATGACACCCTTGGCGGTGAGCTCCTTGATCTCCTGCTGGCGCTCGGTCTCCCAGTTCTCAATGTACGGGTTCTTGCGTACACGAAGGGGACGGCCGGTGAAGATGAGGGTCTTGATGTTGTCGTCGTGGCCGGCGGTGCGGACAGCTTCCTTGTGTGCCTCGGGGGCACCGGCCTCATCAGTGAGAATGAATCGGGTTCCAACCCAGACGGCACCGGCACCCATCATGAGGGCGGCGGCCAGAAGCTGGCCGTTGTGGATACCACCGGCGGCGATGACCTGAACGGGGCCCTTGAGGAGAGGGCTCTTGGTGTTCTTGCAGAGGTCGACAACGGCAGGGATGAGGACGGTGGTGGGGACGTCACCGGTGTGGCCACCACCCTCACCACCCTGGGCGCAGATGATATCGACGCCGAGGTCGAGGCACTTCTGGACGTGCTTGGGGTGTCCGATCATGTTCATGTAGACGATGCCGGCAGCGTGGAGTCTGTCGACGACGTGCTTGGGAGGGACACCGACAGCAGAGACGAAGAGCTTGGCGCCGGACTCGATGATGATGTCAACGAGCTGGTCAAGCTTTCCCTTTGTGTAGTCGTAGCTAAAGAACAAGGAATTAGCCTCGGTTAAAGGCTGTAGACGCGGCACATGCCCGCGCGCCCTTCACTCCAGAAGACGTGTGGAGTTGAGTGGTTCGATGCTTACTTGGTCTTTCTCGCGCTGCCACCGACCTGGGGAAGAAGCAGATCAACACCGAAGGGGGCGTTCTTGTCAACCAGGTACTCCTTGAGCTCTGCGATCTGCTCCTTCAACATGTCCGGTGTGTATCCGACACCACCAATGACACCGAGACCGCCGGCGTTGGTGACAGCAGCAGCCAACTTGGGGCCGGCAGCGACGTTCATGCCGGCAAGCAGGATCGGGTGCTTGATCTTGAAAAGATCGGTGATGGGAGTGCGGATTTGCTCTGTTATCGCGGGAACGTGTCAGCAGTAGCTCTGAGGCGGACCATCTTGTCCCATGTGACAGGCAAGGTGCGGATAGCGGGATAGGTTACTTACGAGGTGACGCCATTGTGCCTGTGTTCCTGGATGTGATAAATGCTAAAAAGATCTGGGTATATCGGGTCGTGAAGCTGTACAGACGAAGAAATTTGGCCTGGGAAGAAGAGTGGTAGATGAAAGGAAGAGCAAGTAAATCTGGGGGGAAGAGGTGAGATCTGGCAATCGGCGGTTTAAAGGGTTCCGGTGGTAGTAGCGCTCGGCATCAAAGGCAGTTTTGGTTTCTGGGGAAGAAGGGGCGGAGTAGCGTTGCCATGCGCCCCTGCTGGGAGTCCTGGGCCGAGGTTCGCCTGTGACCTCAGCAACTAATCCTGTTTGGGCAAGGCGGGTCAGTCCAGCGGGGTGGATCTGGGGAACCTGAGAGATGCCGAGGGTCACTTACCAGCCTCCAGCCCAGAAGCGGGACAATTTCACAAGGGCCACAGGAGCACAAGATACAGTACAGTTTGGTGTACCTTACATAAGCAGGCCAAAGCATAACCCGTTTATGCATCCCTCCCTCCACCCCGAGAGTGATTGATTCATCGATCGGACTCGGACCGGTGACCTCGGTCTGAGCTTTCCGTGTTCACATCTACTGTGAAAATGGAGTCGTTTTGCAAAGCCTCGTGGGGACTAAAGTAGGAGTTGTGTTTGACGTTTACCCTTTTTCTCTCTCTCACTCACTTTCGGACACGGTCGTTTTTTCCCATCTTGACATCGCACTGCGAATGCGACGGGTGAATTGAACAGTTGTGCTCTCTACTGAGAGTGACAGCGGGCCTGAGCACCGAGTCAACCAGGCGCTTTTATCCGTTCCAGAACGTTTGGAAATGAGCCCGTAAACTCTCTCTCGGCTCGAATCATGTCATGATCTAACCATCTTCCAACCTCGTTGCAACCACAAGCGGGCACTTCGGACTTTGGTTCCCTAGAAACACAGACGAGTGTCTGCACCTCTTTATCAATCTAGTATCCTAGACGACGACCCCCGTCTTCCTTACCCGCCTTGGAATAGCTTACTTCGCCTTAGGTCAGCCCATTCTACGGATACCTGACTTCGTACACTGATTTCCAGTCGAACCCCTCCAAAGCCACTTTACGCGCTTTTCCACGTCTTACCTAATCACTGGATTGTAAAGGGACCACCACGGTGCACACCCGACCCTCATTGGCTGCAAGAAAAGATTCTCTCCTTCTTAGTGACCCTCAACACACAAGACACACAAACCCATTGGATATTACCTTACTGGACTGTGGGCTTTTTGCCGTTGGCCTCCTTTTCTCCCTTCCGTCGTGATGAAACCCCCAAACCCCCTCCGTCACCAACCCTCCCTCTTTCCACGAGCTTGCGCCCTAGCACGGAGCAACAATGCGCGTCGCCAGCCCCTAACGCCGCGACTTGTCCGGTTCCAGCTCACGACGGCATCACCAGCAGCTGCAACATCCTGCATAGCCTCATCCTCCTCGCGCACGTTCTGCACTTCTTCGTCACGGGGTAGTCCCTCCTCCTCCACCAACCCTGTCACCGCACTCCTCACCCGCTCCCGCCCCCGGTCAGCAGCAACCATGCCCTCCCGCCGGACCCCGTCGCCGGTCATGTCCGCCGGCGCCGCCCAGACCCGGTCGGCCTGTGGATGCGCCTGCAGCGGCGGCGGTGGATGCGGCAGCGGCGCCGCCAAACCTAAAGGTCCGAGCACGGCTTACCTCGCGCTCGGCAGCAACCTCGGCGACCGCGTGGCCTGGATCGAGCAGGCCTGCGCCGAGATGGATCGCCGCGGCATCAAGGTGAAGCGCACCAGCAGCTTGTGGGAGACGGAGCCCATGTATGTGTTAGATCAGGATAGGTTCGTCAATGGAGTCTGTGAGGTTAGTGACACTCATTCTTTGAAATCTCTCCTTCACTCTGTCTCCGTTCATGAGCTCAAGGTTTTATGTGTGATATTCATGCACTTCTTGAAAGTGTAGCTATGCCAATTAACTTTTGACTGATCGGATGACATACAGGTCGAGACTGAACTCGAACCTTTGGCTCTTCTCGATGAACTCCAGGACATTGAGCGCACCCTGGGCCGTAAGAAGCTGATAGACAAGGGCCCCCGCAACATTGACCTCGACATTCTCATGTATGGTGATGAAAAGATTGAGCATCCTCGTCTCAACGTGCCTCACATCGGCATACCCGAGAGAGAATTCGTCTTGCGACCTCTGGCTGAGTCCGTCCTCTCTCAAACGTCCTCTCACATGACATGGCGACTAACACACTCCATCTCAGACTCATCCCAGAAAAGCCTCTCTACGCATCCAACCCCTGGAAACTCACCCTGGACTACCTCAACGAGCTTCCCCCCTCAGCGGCGCCCCTCTCACCACTCACCCCCATCTCCGCCTCTCACCCTCCCCTCGCCGCCCTCACCTCCAGCCGCCAAACCCACGTCATGGCCATCATCAACGCCACTCCCGACTCCTTCTCCGACGGCGGCGTCCACAACGCCCAAAACCTCGTCGCGACCCTCAAATCCTTCGCCGCCGCCGGCGTCACCATCGTCGACGTGGGCGGCTGCTCCACCGCCCCGGGACGGCCCGAAGTACCCGCCGACGAGGAACTCGCCCGCGTCCTCCCCGTTATAAAGCTCGTCCGCGCCCTCCCCGAACTCGCCCACCTCGCCGTCAGCATCGACACCTACCGCGCCTCCGTCGCCGAGGCCGCCGTCGCCGCGGGCGCGGACATCATCAACGACGTGTCCGCGGGCCAGCTCGACCCGTCCATGATCCCCTACATGGCGCGCAGCAACCGCACCGTCTGCCTGATGCACATGCGCGGCACCCCCGCGACCATGAACTCGCTGACGGACTACCCCGACGGCCTGATCCCCACCATCGCCCGCGAGCTTCTCGAGCGCGTCGCCGAGGCCGAGGCCGCGGGCGTGCGCCGGTGGCGCATCATTCTCGACCCCGGGTTGGGCTTCGCCAAGACGGGGCCGCAGAACCTCGAGATTTTGCGCCACATGGACGAGTTGCGTTCCTGGCCGGGCCTGGAGGGGTTCCCCTGGCTGGTTGGGTCTAGCCGGAAGAGCTTCGTCGGCAAGTTCACTGGTGTGTCGAAGCCGCAGGAGCGGATTTGGGGCACGGCGGCCACGGTCGTCTCGGCTGTCCAGGGCGGCGCGGACATTGTCAGAGTTCACGATGCCGTTGAGATGTGCCAGATTGTCAAGATGGCGGACGCCATTTACAGACACTGAGCGACTTGATTTGCTTGGCAATAGAAGGATAATAAAATAGAATATGTACAACAAATGGGAATAACCGATGGGTATAGACTTCCTGTATGATAAGATGGCAACAAAAGCTTTGGTTTCACGAGCCAACTTCTTCGACTTCATCTTCAGCTGAGCTTTGACTAAATAAACAACCTTGATTCACAGAGAAGGCCACGAATTCTTCCTGTACTATCTCGACCATCGTTGCAATAACAGTCAACATCCGCGCTCTACTTAAACCGGTTCCGAAGATTGGCAGATACGCCCAAAATAGCCTGGCTACTCACCAGTGCTCCTCCCTCGTACCAAGCTCACTGCTCCTATAGATAGCATCCAACATACGATGCCTAATCAAAGCAACGTCAAAATCCGGCGCCTCCCCAGAACCCCCGGCAAACGCCTCCCACGCCTTGCCCGTGTTATTCGAAAACCCCTTGACCTCATCCACTTCAACAACCTCCAGCACGGCACTCGGCTCAGCCTTGACGAACTTGATCGTCGGCGGGAATCCCTGGTTATTCCCCATCAAACCCTCAATCAAAAGCGTCCCCTTTGTCCCCGTAATCTCCCAAAAGAAATTCTTGTCAACCTGGCTCATACCGTCCTAGCAAACCGCAGTCGCAACCCAACCGCCGAAAAACCTCCCCACCACAAAGGTATAATCATGCACCGTCTTCTCAACCTCACCTTTCAACTTCCCCTCGCTGTCAATGGTAACCACCCATAGCCAGTTATTCACCAACGTAGCCTGAACTCCCCTCAACTCCCCAACACAAAACACATCGCGTCCGGCGCGTGGCCCGCCGAGATGGACACTAGATTAGCGCCATTCTCGATATGGGCGCCGTACCCCACCGCCTCGGGCATCGTAGGCCCGAACCAAGGGCTCGTGAACAACATCGTGGTCTGCAGCATATCCCCCAATGCCCCGCGTTCCACGAGTTCCTTGGCTTAAAGGGTAGCAGGGTCCTGACGCCCTTGTAACCCCACCAAGGTCCTGACTCCCTTTTCTCTAGCCAGGGACGTCAGGCGCTCTGCCTCGATGCTGTTCCGCACCAGGGGCCACTCGCAGAAGACGGCGCTTTCCCCGGCGCGGATGGCGGCTTCGACGGCGGCGGCGTGGAGGTGGACTCTTATAGTTACGGCTACGAGGTCGACGTCTGGGTCGGAGACGAGGGCGCTGATGTCGCCGTCGGCTTTGGTGTCTTGCGGAAGATTGTGGAGGCGGGTTGCTCTCTGGGCTATTTCTCTGGAGCTGTTTTGGAGGGCTGCGAAGTTGTAGTGTTTGGAGTTGATGAAGTAGGTGAGGTGAGCGGCGACGGCCCAGGACCATTCGCTATCTTCGTTGTTAGTATCTGTGAGTTTCAAAGGAATGACAAGCGTGGCTGCTAAGGTACGTACGGTCGGGAGGATAGGCAGATGAAGCCGACGTTGGTCACTTGAGGGGACATTTTGGAAGATGGGATGTCGCTGTTGGAGTGATTGAGATGCTAGAATGGGATGTTGGACGGATTGAATGAACTACAGAGAGAAGTGTCTAAGAGCGATTCGTCTTGATATATGTACTACATCTTGAGATATATGCCACGACTTTTTCATTCATCGCGAGAATCCCCATTCTCGTCTTCGCGGATTTCGTCAGCTAACAAACACTGATCAACGTTACCATTATGCAGTATGTGTTCGTGGGTAAATTTGTCATCTTAAATTGTTGGTTTAGACCGTAGACCATCCGCCGGGCTTAGTCAACAGCTTATATAAAAGTCCGCCAACTCATCCGCCATCTCGAATTTGGTTCAAAACAGAGTCGGTTTGATTGCCGCTGTATACCAGAAGCGCAAAGTCAGCCAAGATGATATCAAAATTGCCATTGCGTTATAAAAAGTTTACACACCCGGAAGTGGGCATCACGGTTCTGTGCGACATGTTTATCTCAATCCGATTAGTCACTTGTTATACAAAACTTGAGAGATCATAACGTATTACTTGCCCCTAACTTGGGAAATGTCAGCTCCAGATCGGAAACAGGTGTTCTCTGTGCGATAAATCCGAAGTGGGGAGCAGGGCCCATCTGATGCAAGGCAAGTCAACCCAGCTGCTGGACCAAGATCCAGAGCAGGTGCGATGGATCCCATCACGTTATCCGTCGACGGGCAAACAAGAGAAGGTTTCCAATCGGTGCTTAAGGAGACTGAAAAGGGCAATCATGTCTCGCAGAATTTCCACCTATGCAAGGTATTTTGAAGCCCCTGATCGAGCCTTTGATAATCGAAATATCCAGTGTCATCCCTTGAAAGGTAGAGGCATCTGGTTCCCAAGCTTTGGGAGAGGAGACATATAGAGTCGTGCATGACTTGTTGCTGTGGGAGATAGTCGTTGTCACTACGAATAAGTTAGTACACAAAATTTGAGTAAGCATAATTCCTCAACAGCCCAGGCAAAAGAGTTCACCCCCCCGGTGCTGAACTGGGGGCTACATCTCTGGCGCTCATACTGGGAAATTTCTGGTGCTCATGCTGGGACTCGAACTCGGGTACTCGCTAAGCCTGTCGTCGAGTAGGCTGGTTGGCGTATAAATTGATTGTTGACCATGAACCATTCCACCACCCACGCCACAGTTTGACCTGACCCCCGACCTAGAGGGCGCCTGCTGTGCTGGTGACGGAAACGGGGTCGAGGGGGTATATAAGGCCTTGTGCGTGGATGCTCTGGCTGAGTATTCCGTGAGTATTCTACATGAGTATTTGACACGAGTATGCTTACCTACAATCAGAAATTTGCCCATAGGGCGCTTTGAGTGCTATTGCCAGATGTGTTGCAGTGACGAGAGACCTTCAGCACTCGCCCAACCCTTTGACCCAGCATGTGTAAGTATGAGATGAAGTATCATGCCGATCTGTCAGACTATGTTCTGGGTGGTCAATGTCAGAGATTATTCGTGTCACAGCAATAACGGCCATGATTCAACTCATGTAATTTGGATGGATGTAGTGTATTAGAACTAATGTGGTTGTTCTACACTACTTCAGTATTGTTTATCCCATGTATCGCGTTGAACTGTTTTTGTCAACGCCGCAGACTGTTTGTTTGCCTGCTCACAAGAATGAGATACTAGCCATACACGATCTCAATCTGCTGAAACCGAACTGATGTGGATGCTATCGCCCACCAAGGCCCGAAGGCTCAAGGACATCCTATTACTGTCCCCCACAAAGTAGAGAGACTACCCATACACATTTCCACAACGCCGAAAGCCTAAGCCAGTATGCCAGGGTATCTTAACTCCCAAGGTCCTTAGACCTCAATGTCCTTTTCACATCACCCAAACCTCCGAAGGCATCAAGAGTCACGTGCTCCATTGTCAGTCGGAGAAGGCGCCAGTCCACCAAGGTTACTTTCCCATAACCCAACACCTCTCCCAGGCTGCAAGAGACACGAGCTCTACCGTTCAGCCTGAGGTGTGTGTGTGTGCGTGCCCCTTAACGGAAGCCCAACTGCTCCACATCCTTGCACTCAGCGGCGCCATATTTGTTTTGGGTAGCCTCGTACCAGGCGGCTTGGACCATGCCGACGTTGCAGAAGGTGGAGGCGACGAAGTGCCAGATCAGTTCGCCCTTGTCGGTGCCCGCGCGGCAGGAAGCGTCCGAGGCGGCGAAGCAGCCACCGAAGCGTCTGAGGTTGCGCCAGAGATCGCCGCAGACCTTGGGGGCGTCGTCGACTCCCGAGTAGGCCTTGAGCGAGTAGGCGTGGAGGACGCGGCGTTTCATCTCCTGGTGCTGACAGAGTGCGCCCCCGTGCTGGACGAAGTCGTCGACTGAGGAGTCGGGGGCTTCGGGGGTTGCGATGTCTGTGTTGTTGACCTTGCCGTCGCCCTCTTTGATGGTGGGGACGCCTGCGTCGGTCTTGTCGTCGCCATCTTTGGTGGTGGGGACGTTTGTGTCGACCTTGCCGTCGCCCTCTTTTGCGATGGGGGGGACTGGTTTGGCCTTGGGGACATACTGTAGAGGGACGACCTTGTCTGTGTTGATCACACCGGCACCCTCTGGGATGAAGGCCTTGTCTTTTTCGCCAGCGCCAACATACTTGACGAGGTTGGGGATGCCTTCACTGACGACAGGTTTGTCTCGGCGGACGTTGCCAGCAGGAGCAGCGTCAGCGCCGAAGAAGACGGCGGCAGCGAGAACGATGAGGGTAGCAGAGAACTGCATCTTGACGATTGAAGTTGGGTTGCTTGTGTATGTGTAATTGGGTTGTAAGTTGGTTGGGTAGTTGTATGTAAGTGGTTGAGGTGACTTCTTGACAAGATGCAGTGATGAGAGTGGTATGTAAGATGGACGGAGGATGAATAGAAAAGAGAAATTGTAAGAGGAAAAAGGCCAGAACTTATAGGTTTCTGGAAGATCGAGGCCGTCACGGTGTCTGCATTCGCGAGTCTATTCCGACTCTTCGTGCCCTAACGTGCTCAACCTAAGGCTCAACCTGTGGGATTGATGGATGCCAAAGGAGGTTTTTTCACCGTGTGAGCATGTTCCTGGGCGGCCCGTTGCACCAAAATTTCGGCATCAAGGTTGAGAGCCATGGCCTCCGTTCGGAATAAACACGACTGTTAGAAACCTTGACGGAAGGTTAACCAGCGGTGCGGGTATGTCTGTCAGCCTTGAGGATGTAAGGCCAAGGGCCCTTTCTCCGGCCTCTATTGAAATCTATCGGAGTCAAGCCTATAGTTTCAACGGAGATTGCCACGAGACTGAAGAAGCGTCTGGTCCAGATTTCTGGCTAGCCTAAAAAAGGCCTCGCTGAGCATAAAGGTATGAGCAGCAGAAAAGCTTAGCCATAGCAGTTGAGGGTATACGGCTTCATAGGAATGGACAGAACGAACGTTGGCTATCTCCTCGCGCAAACAAACTTTCTGGCAGCGGTTTGTAATGAGCCACACAATTATCCACAAACTCCTCCCTGCTACTCAGAATATATCAGGTAGAGCGAGTAACCAGGTAGATTGATACATCGCAGCTCCAGGCTCGGAGAACCAATGGCTTCATCTGTTACTTGGCCCAGAAGGTCTACCACGATATACTTGAAAGCAGTGGGTTTGAGATGGGGTATACAATGGCTAGAACTTGACACATCACTACAACATCAGAAACAATTTTCAATAGAACAACGCTGGTAGTTTCAACGACGTGGGAGACATCTCGTAGGTGGTTGTGCAGCCATTCGCTGACCGTTACGCATGATGGTGTTAAAGCCTCAAATTCCTATGTTTGACCGATAACATCAAAAGCAGGGTCAAACTCAGGAACTCTATATATAATACTCAGGAGACAAATCCACCTACCATTCTCTTATTGCTCACAGGTACGTCGCTCTCGCCACTCTATACAGGTCTAGTTTGCGTCGGGAGCAGCGTCCCACGGCAGTTCCGATATTGACGTTACCATCGTAGTTCTGGGCATAATCTTACGATTATGAACACCCTAACAATAGACTTCTATAGAGATAGTAGTCGAATCCATCAGCTCTTGACTTATACACCGTCGTTCCCGAACTAGGCATCTTATGAAAGCCAAAACTCATTGCCAGGCTTGACAGGAACAAGACGAGCCCTGATATCGGCCGATCGATTTCCGCATATAGTTGAAGAACCACCATCCTATCTTCGTATGAGAGAATAATACCCGAAATAACGAGTGAAGGACGAGGTTCGGTGAAGGGTGTTGGTGAAGATGGACACGCCAGTGTAAACGACCGTCATCAAGGAAATAGAGCTTGCTGTTATCGGAGGCCATAGCATCCTACAAAACCATAGGCGATCTTCTTAGGTCAGAGCCAGAACTCTTGACGCATGGTCTGCGGCGGACGCACCTCTAGCCCGGGCGGTCACAATTGCGGCTCCGGATTTCGGGGAATGGGTCTGTCCGGCGCCGAGAAAGCCGCCGCAGAAGCCCGGCCGGCCACTCGACCCATGCCCAGTCTTCTCGAGAGCCTGCGCGGTGTTCGACCCAAGTCGCATACTTAGACAACCGGATCTGAACCCTTGCTTACATCATGTGCAAGTGCAACAACTCGAGGAGTGCTTCACCCTTCTATTCACATGCCTTTCGGTGATATTATAGAGTGTTGCGACCAGTGAAAGAACTGCTATGACTTTACTTCAATTTACGCCCGCCGTCTAGCTGGAAAGGCACAACGAGATTTTCCAAGACTGAATGGCCAGCTTTCAGTTTTATTTCGCGGCTTCGTATCGCTGAAGCAGGAATAGGAGAGGTTTGGAAGTCAGGACCCCTCCCCCCCCCCTCCCCCCGGTGAGGCCTGCCCTGACAGATGAAACAACTGATGCCCCTGACAGACGTCCCCTCAACCACAAGGCTGGGAAGGAATTTTTCTTTATATCTAGAACTCGTTTTCCATTTCATTATCGAACGACAAAAACTCATAAGTGAAATGGGCA